AGAGCTTTTAATACTTTAGTATATTTCTTTTTAGGCTCCAACCCTGTATAGCCCATCTCTCGGGCCTCCACTGTCAGAGAATGGAAAAATCTCTTATCGTCGTTTTATGAAAGAACCTTCGTATTTCGCTGAGCAAGCGGTTTTCCCGACAGCTTCAGGATTTCAAGCGCATTCAACCTTTTCGGACGTCAGCTTAAGTCACAACGGTTAGTCTAGCTACAGAGATCATCAACCTTCCAATAATCATTTCTCCTATAGCAAACATTAGCGAATATCAGGCTCAGCAGCATTCATCCATACTTCTGGCGTGTTGAATGGTGTCATAAATCGTCCGAGCGGGGTGCCTAGCTATTTTTCCAAGACTTGGACGCGTTCTGTTGCGCAACATTGCCATACCTCGCATATGTTAAACATCGATATTGATTGCTTAGTGCACAAACTTATGTGGGGTTTCCTGGATGCACATCCATTAGAATGGGTACAACATTTTGAACAAAGAGTTTTTAATCGATGTTTTAAAAAGCATTTTGATCCACTTCAGGCTGCAATAACAAAATAGCTTTCGAATAATTAAATGTTTGCCATGAACTCAAGTTTTGTAGAATGGCATAGATCTAATTGATAGAATGATACGGATATGACATGGTCTTATATCTGACAGTACATGGACTTCGTGCAGTCAATAGTTATGCAAGTGAAGCTCGTAGATTTTCTGTCACAGTAATTTTCTTTTGCAGCAGGTGATTAAAAATTAGAATAACATATAAAAAGCATTGTTCATCAAGTGCTTTTCACCTTACGTCACTGTTCTATTTTCAGAAAGCACATCACCGCAACCCACCGGAATTCTGCTACCTGTCGAAGGGAAAGCTCTTCTTACATGCAAGGTGTGCGGTGACAAGGCTAGCGGATATCACTATGGAGTAACTTCTTGTGAAGGTTGCAAGGTAATAACAAATACGTAAAAGTTCTGAAGTAATATCGATTTGTATTCATTGCAACTACTGGAATATCCTTTTTAACGGGTAATAGATAATTTTTCTGGATTCCAGTATGCAAAAATTGCATCACGTTGGTAGAGTCTGAGGCTCATCCTTTTCATTTGTTTAGCAATACCTAAGAGTAAGATATGATTTTGGACAGTATTGTGTTGTCAGAAGTCTTCAGAAACAACCAAACCTAAGTGAATTTGTTGATACGACCGCTTTATTTAGATTAGCGCAATCCTTATACTGTAAGTGCGGAATATGAACGTGCTAACAGTACCAGCAGCAAATTAATAAGCTTTGCGTCTGGTCATCTCGGATCTCCGAGATCTCCACAGTGCTTCCGCGCATCTCCGGTGTCCAGAATTGCGCAACACATGAGCCCCTTCTGTCCAACGGAATTTGCGTACTTACAGCCTTATTGATTGGTTAGATGAAACAGAATTTAGGCACATGCAATGAGGAAGTTTTTGTGAAATGCCAATAGCTTTTAGGGCTTCTTCCGGAGAAGTATTCAAAAGCGAATGGAATATCGTTGTTTGAGAGATGGGGATTGCTCCATCTTTAAACAGAATAGGAATCGATGTCAAGCGTGCCGCTTCAAGAAGTGTGTCGTTGTTGGTATGTCGAGAGAATGTGAGTTTTTGAACAAAT